CCTGCTGAGACCCGCCCAGCTGGCCCTCGTCCTGGGCCTGTGCGTGTCTGCTGTTCCGGGAGGTCTTGAGGCGTGGCCCTGGACCGTCCTTGTGGGCCCAGCGTCATGGAGCGTTGCCTTACCCTGTGCTGCTGCCTTGCCTGCGGGAGTCTGGGTGTTCTTACTTTATTTCACTGGGTCTTCTTGGAGGACCATCTCCTGACTTAATCCCCAATTCAGGAGGGACACCTTCAGGGGTTTCAGCCCACGCCCTGTGCACTGTCTAAGAGATGCTAATGCTGCCACCCAGGGGTATGGAAATTCCAGGGCAGGGCAGCTGATGGCGTGGAAGGCAGGCAGCTAGACCATGCATGGCCCACTTTTTGGTTTAAGTCTCAGACCTAGCAGTTTAAAAAGCATGCTGGGCATGTATGTGCCCAAAATCCCAAGAGGAGGGAGAAATGGAAGAGAAGGGATTGCAGTGCGATCATGCCCCATGGGGGTAATTTCTTGCTCACTCGCTCTCTCTCTTTCTCTCTCTCTCTCTCTCTGGAAAGTGCGCACACCTATGGCAAAATTTAAATTAAAAACAGAAAGAAAATACGAGTTTCTACACTAGAACACTCAGACTTCTTAGTCTCCTTGCTCTCGTGAGTGGGAGCTAGGTGCTCGTGGCAGAGCCTTCACGCTGCAGCCCTCCCCAGCCCTGCAGCCTGCCAGGTCACAGATGTGCCGAGGACATGCCTGGCTTGTCAAGGTAGGCCTGGGGAGTGAACCCAGAGCCTCCCCATGTGGCCTCCAGGGTTACACGGTAGTGCCCCTGCTGCCTGCACTACCACCCTGGGCCTCTTCTGTAATGGAGCTAGCTAAGATACTTTACAAAGGGACAGGGAAAAGACTGAAGCACCAGCTTCCTTGGCAGGGAAGCTGGTGGTTTTTTAGAAAGGGTCTGTCTATTGCGATCCTCCTGCCTCAGCCCCCGAATAGCCAGGACTGCGGGTGCACTCTTTTAGAGCTGCCGGAAACCAACCCCTGGCCTCCCCTTGGCCTCTGCCTGCCAAGCAGCAGGGTCCAGCTCACACTTCTGCAGTTGGCCCGGCAGTTTTGTGCGCACTGCTCTTGGAGTGGGTGGTTGACCGCGAGCCCGTGGGGAGGAGCTAACTTACTGTTGATCCGGGAATCCTACCTGGGAAAGAAAGCTTTCTAACACCCCAGAAGAGAAAGCAGACTCCTCCTCAGGCCCGCCCTGCCACCGTCCTCTTGTCTGGCAGCCCAGGGAATCACGCCCTCCTCAGGGAGGCATCCAGAGGTGCGTGGGTTTGGGTGTTGATCTTGATTCTGGATTGCACCTGCAGCAACAGGCCTAGAGGGGAGATCGGGAAGGAGGAGACAACTCAGTTCAGACCAGGCGTGTCCCAGAATGGCGCCCTTTCCATTCTGTGGTCCCGCTCCTGTTCTCCTACCTCCTGGGAGGTGCATCTGTGTGTCGGGGTGCAGGGCTGGGCTGCCCCCAACCTAGGGCCCTGGAGCAGCCCGCGGCTGAGGCTGCGTCTCTGGCCCAGGCCTTCACTGTCCTGTGGTTTTGTGGCATTCTTCCCTTCTCCCCTCGGTTTGGAAACAGAGGCCTCACTTCCTTCCTGTGGCTGTGGTCTCCCTCGTGTCCCTGCACTCTCCACCTTCATTTCAGCCACGCCCCTGCTTCAGACACGCCCCTGCTTCAGACACGTCCCTCTTCAGTGTGCTTTCACGGAGTAAGCAGGACCCTCCCTCAGCCCTTGTGGACGGGGCAGTACTTTCCTTGTGGGGCTGCCTTGCACACATTTGTGGGCTCTGAGCTGTGGCCAGCAGTACCTCCGTTTCTTCTCACTGGGCATTTCCACATCTAATGGGAACTCCCTTCCTGGTCGGGGCTCTCCGAAACACGGATGATGAGTTCTCAGCCTCAGCAAACCGAAAGCCAAAACTTCCAGTAGAGCGGGAGAGCTGGCTGTCGCAGCAGGTGCGCTGCCTCGCCGGGAGGGCGGGCTCACGTCACGGCCCCTCCAGTCCCATATAGAGATCATCCACGGCCATGCTGCGTTCACCAGCGACCCCACGCCCACGGTCGAGGTCAACGGGAAGAAGTACACCGCTCCCCACATCCTGATCGCCACGGGCGGTGTGCCCTCACGTCCGCACGAGAGCCAGATCCCCGGTGAGTGCCGAGGCAGACACCCTGAAAGGTCTGGCGGGTCAGCTCTCGTAGTGCCGGGGCCGCCTGCGCAGGTCCTTGAAAAGGCAAAGGAGAGGAGGTCTCTGAGCTGCACGTGGGCGCTGGCAGCAGGGCGAGGAGTGCTCTCGCTCCAGGCTCGGTGTGCTGTGGGCATTGCAAGAGAATCATCAAGCACCTCCTTGCTCTCACACGAGTGTAGACTGTCTTTAGCCCAGCTCACCGGGCGGGCTGTGGTTGAGAAGCTGCGTAACAGGCTGCTGTTGGTTTAAGGGGGAGCT